GGCGCCCAATGGACGCCGCTGCCCTTTTTTCCACGTTCGCAAAAGGCGCTTCCGTTTTGGCAGGAGTTTCCAGGACCCAGAAACTCTCGCCCTCCTTTGGGTCAGGGTCCACAACTAAACTGGAGTAGACTGGACTGGTCTGGCCTGGAGTGGGGTGGTCTGGCCTGGACGGTCATTGCCGCCCATGGAACTAATTTTCAATAAATAATATCAATTTATATTTATTACGCATTGCCCGGGCGCATTTGTTTTGATTTTTTGCGCTGACGGCCCTCGTAATAATGTTCTCCGCTGGTAAATAATCATAAATACGGAGTGCAGAGATTTATTGTTATTTCTTCGAGTTCGTTGAGTGAACCCGTCTATATTGTTTTCGGCCGCTAAAGCTGTTTGTTTGATTTAGACCAAAGATCTTGAGATTGGGTCGTTCTTAAAGTATTTATTTACCGAAATGGTCATATCTCGTTTTATGACTTTTGAAAAATCTTTACTTGAATGGTGAATTTAGTACAACGATTCAAGAAATACACAGTCTTATATTTTGGCTTACTTGCTATAAACCTTGGAAAGCTATGTACTTTTTAATTGATCTTGAATAAGCGATTCCGAAACTTGTAACTATAATAAATCACTAATATATTTATTACAGGTAAAATTTATTAGTTTTGTTCTGAAACTAAAATTTAAAAAAAATCTATGCCCTAAGATATGAAAACTTAACATAGTTAAGAAAATAAATATAATATCTTAAAAGGTGTTTTTGATCTAATAAGTTTTTCCATACGGTGTGTACTTCGAAATTAAATGAATTTTTCTCCCAATAAAACCTATCGTAAATAAAAAACCGGAAAATATAGCAGCTGCATGAATCCGCGTTGTGCTCATCCAAAATTGAAGCTCGGGGCGCCCCGCAGATCCTGAAATATGAGACCCTATGTCATTATTTTGCACTGAGTTATGTTGCCCTGCGCTGCTCGCACTTCGTGCTCCAAAAAATTGTATATTGAATCAATCCGTGACCTTGTTCTTGTTCTTGTTCTTGGGCAGCCGTTGGGCTGCCATTTAGTCTGCGAGTTGTTTACTGACCGTAGCGCTCTTTTCGGGGCCTCGCAGCGGAAATGAATTATCACCCGCTAAATGGGCGCGCACATCATTATTACATATTATTCTCGTGGCAGAAGCCAACAGCTGGAGTTGCAAAAGCATTTTAGCAGGGATTTGTTTTTTTTTTTTGTTTTGCCCGTTCCCTCCTTTATAATGAAAAGAAATCGCGGAGGACAGCGACAGTGGTTGTTAAAATAATAAAATGGAAAGCGGGATGGCGGAACTGGTTCTGCTTTTTGGCCCGGCTTGTCAAGCTGGCTTAAGTCCAGCCCTGTTTTTGGCTTTCTAACTGCCAAAAGACAAATCAGTTACAGGTTGAATATGAAGCAATTCATATAACAAATTCTAGATATTACCGGCTTTAACAAACTTTGTATGTGTGCTTTAATCTCGCAGGTTCTTAGGTGTTGGTTTGTTGGTGTTGCCTACGTGACCTATTTATTTAAGCTTTGGTAATAAACTCTAACGATTTACATTACGGCCGTAAGATACATCTTGTTTCATTTCAACATTTTTAAGTATCATAGGTTATTTTCTTAGTGTCACCAATGGGAAACTTCCTTATACACAGATAATAAAAATATGGTTTTATTACATACTTACACACCAAAAACACGATTTAAAATCTTCATATAAATGTTTGTCCCCTGGTAAAACTCTGTTCATGTAATTATACCATACCGAAAATGAATTTTTAATTAATTTTTGTAAATTAATTTATTTTATATATTGTTTTTAATTGGTCACTTTAACAATGTGCAGATCCTGAAGTTCAGGTGGCTCGATTATTAGTAGATTATTATGAATTATTAATAATCTATTAATCAAAAGTAAGTTAGAGGAAAACCAAAGCACATAAATTAAATGTACATAAACATAAACGATGGATTTATAATTTTACACACCAAAAACATTATTTAAAACGTTTTCTCTCTAGTCAAACTCTGCTCGTTTAATCGAAACATCCTAAAATAAGTTAGTACTTATGAATTTGATCTGTTAATAATCTTTCTTTATTTTAAAATTGTTTGTTTGTGGTCACTTTAATCAATGTGCAGATCCTGGAGTCCAGTTCAGGTGGTTGGATTGAGGCCCCGAAAGGGCACTCCATTATTTCCATATGTCGTGCGTTAATTGCCGCACATGTATAGTACATACGAAGGCTGGATGGCCAAGGGAAGGGAGTTTGGGTTTGGGGGCCTTAGATCCTGGGACTGGGGACTGGGGACTACAATCTAGCCACGCTGCGTGTGATTTATGGTGTGCAAAATGGGGTGACAAACTGACAAGTGGCATAAGCCGACCCAAGCAAAGAGTTTCGGGCAGGAAGCCACTTTGCGAAACGGTGATTTTATGGTCGAAACTCGGAGGGCGAGTCGTTTGTCATAAATTTGGCTTAAAGATTAAGACCTCTTTTCGTTCTAAAATCTCCTTTGTACTGCCCCACGCACATTAAGAACACAAGCATTAAATTATATTTCAGCGACAGCAGTTAATTAATTGCTTATGGAGTTTATTAAAAAACTTCAGAACTCTTTTATTGGCTTTAAAAACAATAGTTTAAATAGCCTTTAAGTTTAATTTGTTTCATATGAAAACAAGCCTTTAATCTTTAATTCCTTTGAAGTTTTTTTAATAAAGATGAAAGTCATAAATATTCCTTAGCTTGTAGGTAGTTTAGAGAAGAGGTATTAACGACACCAGCACAGGAATGAATTAAAACAGAAACAGCATTCCCCGTTCGCTAGTTTCCATTTCCCAGGGTCCCAGCCCCCTGCCCCATCATAGCTCGGGGGATTCCCCCTTTCCGAGTGGTCAGCAAGCAGAAAAGAAGAGCCAAAGATAACCATGTCCAATAATAATTATAATTTATGCGCCAGCACAGAAATAAACCCAGACGCAAACTTTTAGCTCTTCTGTCCGTCTGTCTGTCTGCGGATGTAACGAACCAAATTACAGATCTCTCTGCTGGTTCCCTCTATATATATATACGAACATATATATATATATGGGATATGAGTGACATGAGACCAGAGGAAGTTGGACAACTTGTCGCCTTTAAATTGGCAGAGGAAAAGGGCAAGGCGTCAATTTCGGAGGACAGGAATTAATTAACAAAATGCAGAAAATTGCAGCAGGGGAAGGTTGAATCTAAGTGGCTGAAACAGAGAAACATATTCAATTAATCAAAATGGGGACGTGATAGGAATTCAAAGAAGTCGAAAGTGAGGAAAGCACTTCGAGTCACTCAAGGCAGCCCGTATATCTTCCTTATCCATTTACCCATTTTCTTTTTCAGTGTGCGTCTGTGTGTGCCGAAGAAAAATCGTCTGACACATTTCAATTGAATTTCCAATTCCAAATTCATTCGCTTTTTTTCGCAAACATTTCTCTTGCTGGTTCGCTTTCGATTCGCTGTTAAAAATAAAACTCAAAATCAATTTGTACGAACTATTTTTATATCGAAAAACAACATACTACAAGTTAAACAAATTTCTCGTGATGATGTGCGAGAAATTGAATGAAGATTCGATTTTGTTGTATTTACGTTTCTTTCCATCACTAAAACATCAAACAACAAAATGTTGGATTTCAAGTGAATGGGGGAATTTTTTTGGCTCATTAAAAATAATTGTAAAATTATTGTTCATAATTATTATTAGCGGCGGGGTGAAGGTCATGAGGTGAAGCTAAAAATTAAGTGCAGTATAAATGTTTTTCTATGAATACTGGGAAACGCACTTAGCATTATTCCAGGAATAAATCTAAAGCAATATTCACTTTCGGATTGATGTAATGAATAAAGATTTTTTATTGTCTCGTTTTCCAACTAAAATTTATGGGTTGATTTACTTTACTTCTAGTATAATTTTAGTCAACAGCCTGGAGCTTATTATTTAAAACCCTCTACGAGTTTATAAACATTGCTGTATAAATTTTATATAATTTTGTTTTTATATTACAGCAGCAGTAGTTTCCAAAAATGCAATTATAATGCTGTTGAACTATGCACATACTCGTATATATATCTATATTGATCGGTGTTGTTAAAATCATTATATATCAATCTGAAAAAATGCATGTTTTTAGGTAAAACTTAATATACTTTTGCAATTTCAGTTAAAAGATTTTTTTAAATTTTCGTAAAAATCTTAAATATGTGTATCGTTCCGTGGAATCTAGCAGTTATCAAGCAATTGTTTTTTATATTATTTGTATTTTATCTCCGCATTTTTTGTACATATTGATACAAAAATAACGATTAAAATAAATTATTTTTAAAGCCAATTTCGCTTAACCAAAAACAAGTGTCGCATATTTGACAAAAAACAATTGGTTATATATCGCATAGCAAAGCCACAAATAGAAGGCCTTTGCGCTCTCCAGCGATAATTTCTCCTTGCGGGATTTCCCTGCAGGATTTCCCCTCTTTTTCGTCTTAATTAACCCAGAATACCTGTAAGAAGTCTCTCATAGGGCTGGCGTTTTCGTATATTTGGAACAAAACCCATTCTGTTTAATTTATACTTTACCGTCTTCATAAATATAACTCTTCCACTAGTTAAATGCCTCCTCCCTTTTCTTTTATTTCTCGTTTTTGGTGTCCTTGGTGCACCCATTCTGGTTTTTCTTCATCACTGCTGTCATCTTCCCTTTTTTTTCTTGCGAATATAGCTATTTGTCACCACCGTGCTGAAGTTGGCGTTGCCGACACATACTGCATTTCACTTCAAAATCCATTTGGGAAGCACCTCTTCATATCGCCAAATTTACTTAAGTCTGCCAATGACAGGACAACTAAATTGTCTAACTTTTCATGGTTGTCATAAAAAAGAGAAAAACTGTTCTAAAAATCTTTAAGCTTTAATTTGAGGCTGAAATTATTTGTTTTTTAGATATTTCGCCACTTGGAGCGTCCCGCGGAGGTGGAACGTCTCTCGTATCTGAAGGACGTGGTGAAGACGCACAGGGAACGCTTCATGCACACCATATTGAACAACTCCGAGGTGCACAATCTCAACGAGCTGTTGTCGTTCGAGCTGGCCAAATATGAAGCGGTTGGAACAAAGCCAATTTTGCCCATGTCCATCGCTTTTATTAAGTCCTTTTTTATCCGCAGGCCGTTCAACAGGCGGCTGAAGGAGGGCTGCTGATCGTGGCCGACAAAGACTTTCCAGAGCCCTACGAGCGATGGAGCATCCTGCAAGCTGTGTTCTTCTCATCGACTGTGTTAACCACTATAGGTGTGTAAATAAGTTATCTGAATAAAACAAGATCTAAATGGGGTTTTCTAAGAGCCACAATTTACATTGCACGCGAATGTTGAAGTTCAACATGTAAAAATGGCAATTCTATGTTCTCTAATTGTGTTTGAATCAATTAAGTTTTGTTTTTGGTTTTGAAAACAATCTTCTTAAGGTGTTTATTTAGCATCAAATTCATGATTTATTGTGTAATTTTCCGTAAATGTTTGACCTTGTTTGACATCATCATTTTGATACTTATAACATCAGCAATACTTGTTTAACATCCGCAATAGTTTAATTTAAATTGTTTCTTATTAGAGAATTTTGTTTCTTTCTAAAATATATTTAATAAATGTACCTATAATTCCTACCAAATTGAAAAAAGTAAATTAGTAAACATACTGGTGTATCAGGTGTATAGATTATTTTTGCCTTTTTATTTTACGTTTTTAAGTGGTACAAATAAGAAATATTATCGAATTATTCTGTGTATACAAATCAAACGTTATCTTTTCTCTTAACCTAGGTATGTTTTATACAAATAAGGTCAGGTGTTTTTGAAGAAACTAAAGCCTTTAACCTAATCAATTTATTCAACGACTAATAATTTCAGGCTATGGCAATATTGTGCCCGTGACAACCGGTGGTCGGGTGTTCTGCATCTGCTTCGCCCTCATTGGAATCCCCTTCACCCTCACAGTAATTGCCGACTGGGGTCGATTGTTTGCCACCGCCGTCTCCGTGTTTGGCAAGCACATGCCCAGTAAGTGAATTTACCTCCAAACCAGATGAAAATGAAGAAAAACACACACGAAACATAATTGGTTAGGCAAAATGGATTTAATCAAATTTAAGCACAGCCACCGATGCCTGTGTAATAATAAACTCGTGATTGTGTGTGAAAAACACGTGCATAAATTAAGCACATGCATTTGGGAAGCACAAAATAGCTGATAAATATACAATTCAATAGCCAACGGTGCGTATGAGTGATTATTAACAAGCGTCACTCATACGCACCGTTGCCTCTGCAAATATAGTTTGCACTTTTCTCGATTTAAAGTGCAAAATTTAGTTAATTCAATTAATAATTTACGAATTATTCACAGCCAAGCCGAAGTTCACAAATTTTATTGGCAAAACCTGGTTTTATGCCATTTTGGCCGTTGGCTTTTTGGGTGTTTACTTGGCCGCTGGAGCTGGACTTCTTCTGCTCTGGGAGGATGATTGGACCTTCTTCGACGGTTTCTACTTTTGTTTCATCACCATGACTACCATCGGATTCGGTGACTTAGTGCCAAGTAGGTTTTGAAATTGTAAATCTATGATTCCACTCAGTATCTTCCCTTATTCAGAGAAGCCCAACTACATGTTGCTGTGCACGTTGTACATTCTCATTGGCTTGGCTCTAACTTCGACCATAATTGAGCTGGTGAGACGACAATACGCCACCAGTTGGGCCAAGCTACAGGTAAGTTCGTATGTATAAAATATTTGATGGGATTTAATAAGAGCTCCGATAGTTAAATCAATGTTCGACTTTATTGTGAATAATTTCTTAAAATTATAAACAAACTGTTTGTGGGGAAGGCACCGAATATGCCACCCTTGTACATAACTAAACACACGAGTAGGTCTTAGTAGGTTTAATTGTAAATAACTAAACACACGAGTAGGTTTAATTAGAGCTGCAACTATTCGTTTTGTGTTTTCGAAATATGTGTACAATGTACCATATGTATGGATGTAGGCGAGATAATTTGTATGTTTGACTGGGGTCTAGACGAAAGCGCGGCTTCTTTATAAAGAAGTTTGCAAGAAAAGCTTGGCAGCATGGAGAGATAACAAAGATAAAACTTAAAAAATATATACATTATAGTATACAGTAAAGCAAAATCTCATTTAGCGAAACTGGAAAATATGTTTTTAAAAGACAATGTTGCGTATAAGTTATTAATAACACACGAATAGTTTGCCATCTTGTTGGCTTTAGGTGAAAATTTTAATTTTATCAATTGCACATTTACACGAAATTGAAATGTATTTCGTAAACAGGTAGATCTTTAAAATTATTTTAATTATTTATTTATTTTGCTTTATTAGCAAACTACATATTTACTTTAAATTAAATGCATATATTTTAAATGATTGTACGTTTTCCCAGGAACTGTCTGGTCCAATGGCGGAGACTCTTCGTCGCTTGGGCGAAACAGCTGGCACAGGACTGGACTACACTGCCCTGCAGAAGGTTCTTACGGTGGGAAATTGGCAAACACTAATTTGTACTGTTTTACTAATAGCCAACTTGCTGCAGGTTTCCATGCCCAAGTGGAACAGCAAGAAGAACGAGCACAGCCCCGATATTGCAGCCTTGGAGGCCATCACCAATGCCATTCTGAAGGAAGTCAAGGAGGCCCAGAACAACAAGCCCAAGGTCCTGCAAATCGTCATCTACGAGTCCTCCGTCTAAAGAAGTGGAAAACTAGAAGGCAAAGTAATCAGACGGCGCGACGAGAGAGCTTCCATCGAAAGAAGTGCTGCATAGTTTTGGGCAACCAGCGAGAAAGAAATATCATGAAAAATATCAATCGTAGCTAGGTTACAGTGGACACTGGCTACTGTAGCACTGCCAGACTTCCATAAGTTAGTGTCCGTACTTATAGCTATTATATAGTCAAATGTCTAGGCAATAACATTGCTCATACGTACTGAGGCCACACCACACTCACACACATGCAAAGCGCGGCAGGTGATTTAATGTCTATGGTCGTAGATAATCGTTTTTTTTTTTGAGGAGGAATTCTATCCGTATGGGGTAGCTTAAGTCATAGTCTTAATTGTAACTTTTGTCCATACCATGCCTAAATGTCATCTTAAAAATAAACCAGAAAAAGACTTCAAAATCTCGTTAGTGTTTTAAGAGGGAGTGGTTTTCAGATGGCAAGCGAAAGTTTTCACGTTTTGTACTAAACATTTCCACAATAGTTTTCTTATTGCTAAACTCTAAACCAAAACCTTGAAATGCATTCTTTTCTTATAATTAATTCCATTTTAGAAATCCCAGAATAATCGACTTGGATTACCCTTTGCATTTGTAATTAAATTCCTGCCACACCAGCTTAAAGCTAAAAGCTTGGACTAATTTTGTCGCCTGATTTAGAAGCTCACCATGACGAATTTAACTTTCACCGGGAGCTTCTCGAAGACCTGAGATTCAAATCATATGATCCGATTCTAACAGCCTCTCTGTTATTTACTTCGACACCATGAAAAACTTGGTGCCTTTTCCCCGAAAATTAATCTTAACATGACTTAAACATCTATTAACTATATCAAATGTATGTTGATTTCAATTAATACAATGTGATTTTAAGGTGAGCTTGCTTATAATTAAAATCAAATTAGGACTACAATATTTTAGTATTTTAATTCAATTTTAAGGTTAGCTTACGAATATCAGAAATTAACCTAATAAGAGAAAAACTAAGATTTGTATGTATCAGCAAAATAGGATTTTAGATGAACTAAATTGAATAATTTTATAGAGCATTTCAGGCAATCACAGAAAAATCAAAATTTGAAATGCAGTAAATCTCATTGAACAGATTTATTAAATCCAAACTAAAAATCAGATGGCACATTTTTAATTTTCTAATGCTATAAGCCTGTATGAAGGCCTTGCATATGTTATAAAATTTCGCGCAGTGTACATATGCTGCACATTGTTGGCTATAAAAGTCGTTCGCAGCGTCGCCGCTCGATAGTCGCTGGATCAGAGGCGCAGTGGCGGAAAGGCGAAAGCGGGTCCGTCGTTCTGATTTGCACATATCCAAGTATATATAGGTGGACGTGTATATCTGTGTATACGATCTGTATCGGTAAGGCCGGGTCCGGGAGCGTAACTCCGGCACCCCGTGTGTGTGGGCTGATTCGAGATTCGAGATCATTTTCGCTGGATGCCTCGGCGCGGGGCTGTCACCGTTCAGTTGTGCGCTGGCCGAGCAGAGAGTAACATCCGGTCCACCGATCCGATCCGATACGATCCGATCCACCGATCTATCGATCCATCGATCCAACGATACACCGATCTATCGATCCATCGATCCAACGATCCAACGATCCGGCGATCCCGTTACATGGATAGCTGATCGACAGCTCCCGATCCGTGATCCGTGAAATTGGGCAGTGTGCGTGCTCCGTTGCTTTTTTGTTTGGTGTTTACTGGTGTTTGCTGGTGTTTGCTGGTGTTTGCTGGTGCTGCTGCTCACAAGCTGCAAGTGGGGGAGAGAGAGAGAGAGAGAGAGAGAGAGAGAGAGAGGGAGGTAGAGGGAGAGGGATACTGATACTGATACCGAGAGGATCCCCTTCGCCCATGGAGGTGCTCAAGAAGGAGGCCGCTCTGGGTTCGCCCAGCAGCGTCTTCTACTTCCTGCTGCTGCCCACTCTGGTGCTCTGGTACATCTACTGGCGGCTCTCCCGGGCCCACCTGTACAGGCTGGCCGGTCGCCTGCCGGGCCCCAGGGGCCTGCCCATCGTGGGCCACCTCTTCGACGTCATCGGACCCGCTTCATGTAAATAACACAGTGATTTCCAGTGACTTTGGGAAGGAGTTTGAATCAGGAAAAGTGCTCGAGTGTTGAGAGAGATAATCGATTCGCCATATCCTGCGTGACTTTCCAGATTAGTATTGCCATTGATACATTCCAGATTAATATTCCCATTGATACATTCTATATATTCTTTTTGATTAATCAATGGGCGCGGTCTTGTTTTGGTTTTTTTTTTTTGTTATTAACAAACTAAAAACGCACTACTTTGTTTTCTATTTAAATCCTTTACAAAGTTCGAGAGCTCTTCCATGAAGCAACATTTAAAAAAGAATTTTTTTTTTAATTGAAATTGCAAGAAAGAAATTGTACTGGTTTCTTATTTAATTTGTAACATTTATGTTAAGAAAATAATAGAAATGGTTATATTCTCGTTTGAAAAATGTATTCCATGAAAAACGCATGTGCTTTTCATTAAACAGATGTCATAGTTTAATTTTCTTTAGTCAAAACGTAAATCTGTTGTATAATTATATAAAAATAAGTAATTAACTCAGGCTTCCGCAATATAAAGCACCGAGATAGAGCTCTCCAAAAATTGGAAAACCTACGAAATTTTTTTACGCTATTCATAATTTTACTTGAAATTGTTTTATTACCATTTTTATATTGACTAATTCATATGAAATAGGTTGATCGCTTTTTTTACGTCATTCATCATTTTAGTAGAAAAGTTTTTTTTCGAAGAATTCTGGAATAAGTGGCTTGCCCTTTGCATTTAAACTTGGAATTATTCGCACAATGCTATATATATACTAAGAGTTTATGTTTTAAGATTTTAAGTAGGTAGACATGGGACCACGAATTGGTTATCTATTAGCTCCACTCGCCATCAAGGCACATTTCCTATTGCGAACGAATTTCTCCCCTTTTAAGCACTTTCAAAAAAAAAAAAAAACCCTCGAAGAGAAAGGTGAAAATGATAAAACATCTCGATATCGCCCGCAGCTGTTTTCAAAACAGTGATCCGGAAGAGCGCCCCGTTCGAGCATATAGCCAAGATGTGGATCGGGCCCAAGCTGGTGGTCTTCATCTACGATCCCCGGGACGTGGAGCTGCTGCTGAGCAGCCACGTCTACATCGACAAGGCCTCCGAGTACAAGTTCTTCAAGCCCTGGCTGGGCGACGGACTGCTGATCAGCACAGGTGAGGAGGGGCGGGGAGGGGTGAGGAGCACTGTGAGGACCACTTGCCACTAATGCAATTTGCGGAATCATAAATTAATTAAGCGATCCGCTAGCCTGACAGTTGGCACAACAATGCCGCTATAAATAAAATCAACGTCGCAGAAAACTCACGGAGAGAAACGAGGGAGTGCTTTCAAGTTTCAACTATTGGTTAATTTTTTTAATTTTTTGTTTTTCTGCGTTCCTTTGATTTATACATACAGTACTAGAACAGACAATCGAACAGAAATTGTCCTTAATAAAATAGAATGTACAAAAAAGGTAAACATGTATCCCCAAATAGATTTTCAATTTTTCAGTGAAAAGAGTTACTCAGGAAATTGGCATAGTTATTTGCTTTGTACTTGCGACAGGAAATCAATCTTAGTTCAATGGCTTTTCGTATTTAAAAATTCTTTGAATACCTAAATTTATATACGGTCTTAAAATCAATTAAAACGAAAAGTAGTAATTACAAGCTTTTGTAAATTTTAAAATAAGCTATTCAAATGAGAATGGCTTACAGTTTGACAGGCTGACCTACATGAAATGTTAATAAACTTTATTTGGAGCTTAGAACGGATAACACCTTAGTATCTATTTGGGGAATACCGAACTCGAAGTCAGGAAAGGCTAATCACAGCCACTCAATAAGCAATAAGCCCTAATTCGCACTCCACTGTTTGCACCATTGTTGCAGGTCAAAAATGGCGGTCGCACCGCAAGCTGATCGCACCCACATTCCATCTGAACGTCCTGAAGAGCTTCATCGAGCTCTTCAACGAGAACTCGCGCAACGTGGTGGGGAAGCTGCGAGCGGAGGATGGACGCACGTTTGATTGCCATGATTACATGAGCGAGGCAACCGTGGAGATTCTATTGGGTAAGTGATCGGATATGGACCAGATCGGATTGTGTGGAATCGAGGATCGGGGATCGGGGTAGCGGTATAGCGGTATAGTGATTACACAAAGTACAGTCAACCCACACGCACCCGCCACCACATGATTCGCATGCCACCATGCCACCAAGCCACCAATCCATTCCACCTTCCTCCAGTTTGCTCGGCTCCGGTTGTGATGTGCGTGCGTTCGAGTCACCTAATCTCCGCCAAAACACACAGCACAGAACACACATTATATGGGATACTGGGATGATGCTGAGGCTGATGCTGATGCTGTATTGTATGCCACACACAATTGAGTGCAGACCCATTTCCCTATATACTGACAAATCAAAATCTCTGCCCGCTGCCCATTTGGCGCTATTGTTGTGCCCCCAACAATGGGCGCAAACGAGATGTATGTATGTGTGTACTATACTATATGTACGTACATAATTCTGCATACATGTCCATATATAATAGATCGGATCCCGGGCCCGATCTAACCGAATTATGCCACCGCCAGTTGCCATCTGCCAAACTGCTGCAAACTGGTTGCGTTTGCCCCCAAAACGATCATGTGGCTTAATTACAAAAAATGTCATAATTAAAGGTCTTTCCAGGTCTGAATTTCGATCATTAGGGTCTTTTAGGGTGTATATCATTGTACATACATCAAAACCACTCAAAATACGATCTCAGTACGTAAATTATTAAGAGAGTTCGTGAATTTCTATAGTGATACAGAATCTACTTTTTTCTAAGCCTTGCCTAACGATATTTTGACTTTTCAAAATATTCCCTTCTTGAGGTCCTTAATCCCAATTTTTCAATATTAAAATCGGAAATGCTTAATAGCAAATTGAAAAAAAAAATACCAGCTATTTAATATTATTAGTGAAAAACGAATTGAATTTGGAATACCTGCTAAAAAATCACGACAAATATTTTGGGTTCAATTGTCTATATAGTCCATCAGTATGGAAATTGCTCTCATGAACTTAAGATCATAAATTCGAACTATTTAAATCATTGGGTGATTTTAAGGTGTACCATTTTGAAGGGTTCTTAAATAATCATATCAATGCATTTAGTACCATTACAAATGCAGCACATTAAAGCACGAACTCACGAAAGAGAGCTTTTCCTTGAAACAGCACCCATCTGCCGTAAATGCAGGTTAAGGTTATTCCTATGTTTTTCGACCGGCCAAGTGAGTCGTTTTGCCAATTGACGATTCGCTTGAGGCCAAACACGTTTAAGGTTAAGCAAAAAGTGAAACCGCTAAGAGCTAGACAAATTGGAAGGCGGCCAATGTTAATGACATTGTCGCCGATTTGGGATTGATTTCCAGGCCATTGCATAATCGTAGTCCCAAGTTGAAGCCCAATCCGAGGGCCAAGTGCCTCCACCTTCGGGCCAATTCGGTCAATTGAAGTGCAGCCAAGATTTCGGATCAGAGATCGCAGCTGGATGGAACCGAGGCGAACCGAACTGCAGCGAACTGCAGCGAAGTGAAGTGAAGTGAAATGCACCGAATCGCAGCTAACTGAGCTGCAATTAAAGGCACGTCGCACTGCCATTAAGCATTTAATCAGGAAAATTTGAATGCAACGGCCGGCGGGCAGAAAAACAGAGCTGAGGTTGCCGTTCACGGCGATTATGGTTGTTGTTCTGACGCAAACGGGCAATTAGCAATTAAGACCTGAACGAAAACCCGCAAATGCTTATGAAGAGCTGGGCAAATTTTGTTCAATTCGAACGATCGTAAGAATGGGCAGGGAAAACCAAATGTCATTGCATAAGCTGGATTTCCTTTTCCGGCCAAGTCAGCTCCAGATGAAAGTGTTTATGACTGTGTGGGAAAGTGATAACAAACTGGCATCTAATTAAGTTACTTGCGAACTATTTATAATTCTCACGTGGGGAGTACAAGACAAATTCAACTGACCTATCGTAACTGAAGATCGTTTTGAAACAGAAAGAAGATTTAACGAACAAACTAGGGATTTATCATTTAACTTTTATTAGAATTCAATCTTTTCTATAAATGATTTATTTAATATAATTTTTTAATTTTCAAATAAAAAAATATTCAAATATTTAAAAATTGTTTCTACCTGAGAATTTACAATCTTGCGACATATTGAATTTTAATATTCATTTAACTACATTACTGAATTTGTTCGAAATAAAAAGGAAATATTTTCAAATTATACCAATAAACAAAAGTAAATGACAAAATAATTTAATATTAAAGCATTTATTCTTTTCATTTATATGTGAAATATATGTTGGCCTAAACCTCCCCTCCCCCTCAACATTCAATGTCCAGAAGACGCTCTCGAACCGAATCAAATGCCAAATTCCTTGCTCGCATTTTTCCCACAGCACAGATACATTCCGCTCTCGAAGCGGATCCGTCCGTTAGCTCGTTTATGCTGTCATCTATAGATCTATTATGCATTGTATCTACAATTAGACAGGAGGGATGGGGGATGGGGAGTCCGGGGGAACCGGGGGAACCGGTGCCTCGCCGCCTGTTGTCTGTTTGTTAAGTTCAATTGGCGCTTGGGTCAGACGAGTGCATTCCACTTCCCCCATTTGTCCGTTTTGCTGGGGTCCATCTCCGATCTCCAAACACAGAGTCCCCGCCGATTCCGATTCTGATCCCAGTCTGCACTGCCCGAAAAACCGTACAAATTCGGAGATCAAATTTTAATTCCTTTTTTAAACCGTGGCCAAAAAGGGTCTTTTTATACCCTTGCAGAGCAAAAGGGTATTATAATTTCAGTCAGAAGTTTGCAACGCAGTGAAGGAGACACCTCAGACCCCATAAAGTATATATATTCTTGATCAGCATCACGAGCAGAATCGAAATATGTATGTACGTCTGTCCGTCTGTCCGTCTGTCCGTCTGTCCGTCTGTCCGTCTGTCCGTCTGTCCGTTTCCGCGCAAACTAGTCTCTCAGTTTTAAAGCTATCGTGCTGAAACTTTCCCAAAAGTTGTATAGTTGTTGCACGCAGTATATAAGTCGGAACGGGCCGGATCGGCCGACTATATCGGATAGCTCCAATACAAGAGAATGAAATAAAAAATTCTAACTCTGTTGTTTTTTATCAGATCGACTTGAATTCTTCAAGATGGCGTTTTCTAACTGTTATTGAATTTCGTATTAAATTTGATCAAAATCGGATAACTCTATCATATAGCTGCCATAGGAGGGATCGAAAATTATATATAGAATTAATGGAAATAAATTGATAACATCGTTGTTTTTCATCAGACAAGTATAATTTTTGGAATACAGAGTGTTCTTACGACTCTTGAATTACGAGTTAAATTTGATCAAAATCGGACAACTATATCGTATAGCTCCCATATGATCTATAGTCAAAAATATGGAAAATGAATAGAAAAATCGTCTTAGCTTCGATGTTGTCTAGCCTTTATGCGTTTTGTTCGACATATTTGATGACTGCAAGGGTATATAAGCTTCGGCTTGCCGAAGCTAGCTTCCTTTCTTGTTTTTGTACTATTTTGCTTGGTTTAATTTAATATTTGTTCAGAGTATTCAATAAGTGCAAAAATTGTATTTAATTGTTGAATGTTTAATCTTGTTTGTTGACCTTAAAATAACACAGAAAATAATTAACACAAAATGAAAATTACTAAATCTGATAAAATAAGAATTTAATTTTTAATTTGTTATTTAATTTTCACAAAAAAAACAATATTTTGTTAGGCTTTGTATACAACACTGCGATAGTGGGACTACTAATTGAGTTGTATTCTAGTTTAGTTGTATTTACAATCAAAATTAAAAATAAAGCATTCGCGCCATTACCTGGTAAACAATTATTTTTGACTAATAGACTTGACATTGGAGAAAAAAATTTTAACGCTCGCTCTCTTCCTCAGTCTTTCTCCGATTTATCTGAAACTGTTATAAAACATTTTCGAAATATATTCAGGATCCATCCTAAATGAAAACAAATTAGAGAGTATATTAACCCGATTGATTGTATTAAATTGTCCTAAAACTAAGGCACAATATTCCTAAAAAGTTATGCCTATATTGAAAGTCAAGATCGGGGCCAAATTCCTAGTTTTTGTAGTACTCAAAACACCGCTAGCTTAATCTTTTAAACGCTGTTCCTGTAAACAAGTAAAATGGTTTTGATTTGCGTTTCGTTTTCATTTTTGCATGAAAACGGAATGTTGCTCAAAAAATAAAATAATATGCCTTCTATGTTATCGCTTGTTTCTGTATGGACCAACTTCGGTTTCAGGCGACACAAGAGTATGCACATAAATCTATTTTTTTTGCCTTCCAGAGACGGCGATGGGCGTGTCGAAGAAGACGCAGGACAAGTCGGGATTCGAGTACGCGATGGCCGTGATGCGGATGTGCGACATCCTGCACGCCCGCCACCGCAGCATCTTCCTGCGCAACGAGTTCGTGTTCACGCTGACCAGGTACTACAAGGAGCAGGGCCGCCTACTCAACATCATCCACGGGCTGACCACCAAGGTGATCCGGAGCAAGAAGGCGGCCTTCGAGCAGGGCACCCGCGGATCCCTCGCCCAATGCGAGCTGAAGGCGGCCGCCTTGGAAAGGGAGCGCGAACAGGAGCGGGAAACCGGAAACGGCGGCGAGGAGGGGGCCACTCCGGTGGCGGGACTCTCCTACGGACAGTCGGCCGGACTGAAGGACGACCTGGACGTCGAGGACAACGACATTGGCGAGAAGAAACGGCTGGCCTTTCTCGATCTGATGCTGGAGAGCGCCCAGAACGGAGCTCTGATCACCGACACCGAAATCAAGGAGCAGGTGGACACCATCATGTTCGAGGGGCACGACACCACGGCAGCCGGCTCCTCGTTCTTCCTCTCCCTGATGGGCATCCACCAGGACATCCAGGACCGCGTGCTGGCCGAACTCGACTCCATCTTCGGCGACTCGCAGCGACCGGCCACGTTTCAGGTGGGTCAATATCCAAAAACACAAACACAAGGCGTTTCTATCATCAACTCCCGGTAACAAAGTTTCTTTTTCTACTCGAACAGATTTTGGGTAAAAAAAACATGTTTTAGATCTCTTTTTGAAATAATTGCTAATACTTTGTAGAGTAGCTTGGGCTATTCTGAGAGAACTTGAAGCCCCAATAAAGCTATGTAGATTTCGCTTTTGTTTTCCTTATTTTTTCAACTTTCAAATTATAAAGTCATTCGATTTATTGTAACCCTCCATTATTTTATTAAATCCTAGAATACGAAAATAAAACGTTTTTTTCTATAAATTTCATATCAGACTGAAACGCACATTTCCCTATTGCAAGAGTCTTTCATAAAAATAATAATTTTCCTAAAATGAGGGAGAAGTCTGAAATAAAATGGATATAAACCAAACTTTTAAATTGCCGCCATTGAAGCGCGCAAAACCCGACTGCAGGACAAATTTTCGACAAAAACATTGTTATATTGCTTTGAAGTTTTAAAGAATACTCAAGTGCATACTTGACACCGCCACTAAATCCTTGAAATCCCGACCGCAGGACACTCTGGAGATGAAGTACCTGGAACGGTGTCTAATGGAGACGCTGCGCATGTACCCGCCCGTCCCGCTGATCGCCCGCGAGCTGCAGGAGGACCTCAAGCTGAACTCGGGCAACTACGTGATCCCCAGGGGCGCCACGGTGACGGTGGCCACCGTCCTGCTGCACCGCAACCCGAAGGTCTACGCCAACCCGAACGTCTTCGATCCGGACAACTTCCTGCCGGAGCGGCAGGCCAACCGCCACTACTACGCCTTCGTCCCCTTCTCCGCGGGACCTCGCAGCTGTGTGGGTGAGTTCCAGAATCAAGAGTGTCCGGAAAGATCAAGTAACCTTTTACCAAGTGATATGAGTAAGGAAGTGAGCCGCCGAATGCTTGATATCGTCCTGCCCACTCCTTTGCTCACTTTATAAACTGCAGCAAAGGAGTGGATCAGGAGGATCATGAAATGAATACGCTGGTAGAAAGCTTCCTTCTTCTTGATACATACTGATCAAGCTACAAAATATATTTCAAAATCCATTCCTTTTGTATTCCATTTGTTATTATTAAAGATGAAAAAAAAAATTAACACGTTTTGTAAAATTAATAACAATTTGCAAAATCTTTTTAAAGTTCATCTCATAAAAAAGATTGCTCCATTCAAAGAAATAAACTTCCGAAAAGCTTAAGTTAAGTTGTTATTCGACGAGCAAAAATATCGACTAAAGGAAAATTGATGTGGAGAAAAACAATAATCTATTTCACCTTCCTACAAGTTTGCACAAAAATTGATATTACACATTTGAACGAATTTTCCAGGGCGCAAGTACGCGATGCTCAAGCTGAAGATCCTTCTGTCGACCATTTTACGGAACTACCGCGTCTACTCGGACCTGACCGAAGCGGACTTCAAGCTGCAGGCGGACATCATCCTGAAGCGGGAGGAGGGCTTCCGCGTGCGCCTGCAGCCGCGAACCAGATGAACCAGGTGACCCCGACGAATCTGGTGACCCCGACAAAGCAGGTGAACCGCGCAGAGGAACAAAAGAAAGGGAGGAACGGAGGAACGGAGGTCACCGTACACAATAAGCTACACAGAACGGACACTTATCCATACATATATCTCTACTTGTTGGCAAGTGATAGTCACCGGTTTATACAGTAATATTGATAACATTAAATAATAAACGTGCTCAAACACTCGATTTATTGATTAGAATAATAACTATTTTTTTGTCGCATTTAACATGAAAAGCAACCACAACTATCGTCATCTTCCTTAAACTGTTCTTTTTTTTTTTTGGTTGTTTTATTATTATAATACCTGTTTGTGTAATAATTTTGACAATAAATCTTTTGTGTAATTGTACATATCGATCAAATGAAGCGAAATAGGTATGTATTTTGATATTGATAAGTACAAAACAGTAGGAAACGCTTTAATCGAGTGTCTCAGAAGAACGATTTCAACCAGCGTGATTACTTTTTTAAAACTTAATTTGGTGCATATTTGGTGCAAACCAATTTTAAAGGAATATATTAGGGTCTATCCTCTCAGTCGTAATACGGATTCAATCCTTTCCTGGAAGGGCTTTCCATGTATATGGGAATTTATTTTTTTGGATCCGTATTACTTTAAAAAATCTGCCAAAAAAAATTTGTTATCGATAACTTTATACTATGATGGTAAATTGGAAACTTGTGAAGCACTTACATCGGTATCGATTTCGACGCACTTGCTCTTCTCAATTCTCGTGGAGAAAGACCTAACTAGGAGCCATCGATCCCTCTTATGATGGACCCCGGTCATTGGAAAATGGTAGTCGACTTTTATTCGTCACATACGGTCACTACTATCCAAACGTAGTGTTATATTTGAATTGTCCTTCTTCAATATTCAGAAAATTATGTGTAGCTGCAAAAAACTATTCAAAATACAACACTTAATTTAAAGTCAACATCTCTTTTTTCCTAAGGTGTTTCATTCTGCCGCTGTCGGGCAGTCGACTCTCCTGTCGACCTTTTATGCCAACACTTTACGGATCCAAATATTATATTATGAATCCTTACGCTACTACATCAATAAATCCCCACTGCATCTCTCAGAGATAATTTAGTCCAAATGTTTATATGCAGTGTTTATTAAATAATTGTGGGGCAGGGATACTTGGACTAATCCTCTATCACGGATCTGTCCATAAATGGGGTAATTGGTGTCCTCGCGGCCATATCCACCAGACCACCTCCGGAGTGTCCTCCAAGGGATGGTGGATTTCATCAGGAGTCGGTGGCTTTACCGCATCGCCCAATGCGGAAGCTTCCTGCTCGTCAGAGGGCTCCTGTGCTGTTTCAGTCTCATTCCCATCCTCTGCTGCTTCTGTCTCATTCTCATCCTCTGCAGCTTCCTGGTTTTCTGCTGCAACCGGAGGAGGTTCCTCCCCCTCCTTTTCCAGCTTGGCCTTCTTCGCCATCTTGGAACTGGCGATCGACGACGAGGAGGGCTTTTCTTCCAAAACCTTCTTCTCCTTTTCAGTGTCAACGTTGGCTGCCAACGGATCGTTCTCGTCGTTAATTTCTGTGAAGGAATCGAATGCCTTGAATAGACTCACTCCTCCAGAATAGAACTTACCCGGCATGCTCCTCGGCTTCACGATCTGCTCGATTTCGCTCATAGTGGATTATCCTCAAATCAATCGTCAAATCAAAACTATTGTAGAAAGCGTTGCACAAAAGTGAGAAGAAAGAGTGGCAAAATGGCAGATTCACAATTAGCTTTCAGTTTTTTCGCAGTGACGGATCAACTTTTAAAGTGAACGTCGAGAATTCAGAGTTGCTTCGGCTTAATATCGCATAGAAACGTGCTTTAACAAACGATATTTTTGGTTGGACTGTGATGCTGAGCAAGAATATAGATTATCGTGTCGATTGCTTCTTGCTAACTTTTAACCGAATTTATATTTCCTTCTGCAGGAGTAAACACAACTTCTTGGGAATCGACCACTCGCATTTAAAGCCACACTTTAAAGAATATTGAATTCTCTTGTTCATTGTTCATTCATAAATTCAGTTTACTTAATAGTTATTTTTATTTATATTTCTAAAACGACCGCCTGATCCCATCTGATTACAGTTTTAAACAGTGACAAAGAGAGTCAAAACAGCGACTATGTAACTTCAAACTTCCTTTTTTCGCTAATGCCAATTCCTATATTTATGTTTTTTTTTACCTTTTTACTCATTGCCAGAACTCTTCGTCAACAATGCTTTCTTTCGAAGTGTTAAGTGTGAAAAAAATGGACATGTTATAAAACGGTTCTTGCCATGCGATACTTAGCCAATGCAACTCTAAACTCTAAAGTTTATCCGTCACTCCGTTGGAAGTCACCGATGTCCAGCTCCAAGATGGCGAATGAGGTGGAAGAGCATTCTCCGGTTGCAGCAGAAGAGCAGGAATCTGCAGAGGATGAGAATGAGTGTGAAACAGCAAAGGAGCCCTCTGACGAGCAGGAAGCTTCCTTGTGTTCGTGTTCACTTGGCTGCCAATGTGGATTGCCTTTACTAAAACGGGGATCAATTCCTTTGTGTCTCTAAGGAAAATGTTCAAGCAACTAAACATGCTTAGTTTATCAAGTTGTACGAGCCGCGCGGCCCTGTGACGGATTCTTAATTGATATATTATTCTGCCCCGGACTGATTAATAAAATACTCCTTTAATAATATTAAGTCAACATATGTATGCTACGCTTCGAAATAATGATAAGCTATTTATGTATATTTGTCGATCAAGTTTTGAGACGCATGATACATTCAGCTTTTCATGTACGCAATAATATAAATTGTGTTTCTTGTTGTAGATTGAATGTCCTGTATATTTGAAAGTATTCAAAGTACTATATGTATGTCCCCTTCTCCGTCGTTACCTCTCTTTGATGTATGCTAAGTATAATAAAAGACATTAATAAATAGGTACACCGACAGATTGTAATTCCTGGGGTAACAAGTGCTTACCACGCTACTGGGCTAGTTCGTCCGCTTGATCCTTACTAACCAGTTAAGAAGACGGCTGTTAAAGCGCTGGATCAGTGTCTGGCCTGCCGAATGAGAGTGGTTTTCGACTGCTTCCGGAGCCAAGCCACTTACGGATTGGGATTTGCAAGCGGAGTTGATTTCCCGTTGGGTCGGGCGTCGGACTCGCACGGCACACCTCTTTCCGCAAAATGCCTTGGCCTGGAGCTCTTGCTCCCTGAGCCTCTTTGTCTGGGATCTGGTCACCGGCGGCATGGTGGTCAGCTGATCGTTCTTTTATTTTTACTCGGTTAAGGGATAGGACTTGGATTATGGGAGTCTGGCCTTTTTATATGTATGTATCAACCGACTGGGTAGTTGAAACGATGTCTCGTCCAGCGCCGCCTGCTTTTGTTACAGCAAAATAGGAGATATCAATTTTATAAACATGGTGTTTGATTTTTAGTTTTATTAATGAAAAAAATTTCAACAATAGTTTTGTGTTTCAAACTACGCACTTACATTGACATTTGTTCGTTACTGTCACACCAATTCAACTTGAATTATCCTTCCAATAAATCCACAATATGGTAATCTTTAGCTGTCACCACCTTTCCATCATTTAAATTCAACTCGACTTCTGTATTCTTTAATTCTTTCTTCCTGCCTGTGTTTCTGGCATTCGATCCAAAATCTGTTGACCTTCTAATATATTATGAATCATTTTGCATACTGAGTTAATAAACCCCCACTGCTCCCTCTTAAGGATAACTTCGCCAAAATGTTTTTGTGAAGTGTTTATTAAAAAAATGGCAAAGAATAACTTCGCCAAAATGGTTGTATGAAGTGTTTTTAAAAATATGGTGGGGCAGGGATACTTGAACTAATCCTCCATCAGGGATCTGTCCATGAAGTATTAACACATCTGCCCGCTTGAGTGCGCATTTGTTAGTGACCCATCACCTCCTAGTTGGTGTCCTCGGGGGCCATATTGGCCTCATTCTCTTGATCGCATTCGGTCTCGACCACCTCCTCTCCCTCCGGAGTGTCCTCCAAGGGATGGTGGATTTCATCAGGAGTCGGTGGCTCTACCGCATCGCCCAGTGCGGAAGCTTCCTGCTCGTCAGAGGGCTCCTCTGCTGTTTCAGACTCATTCCCATCCTCTGCTGTTTCAGACTCATTCTCATCCTCTGCAGCTTCCTGCTTTTCTGCTGCAACCGGAGGAGGTTCCTCCCCCTCCGTTTCCAGCTTGGCCTTCTTCGCCATCTTGGAATTGGCGACTGACGACGAGGAGGGCTTTTCTTCCAAAACCTTCTTCTTCTCCTTTTCAATGCCAACGTTGGCTGCCAACGGATCGTTCTCGTCGTTAATTTCTGTGAAGGAATCGAATGCCTTAAATGGACTCACTCCTCCAGAATAGAACTTACCCGGCATGCTCCTCGGCTTCACGATCTGGTCGATTCCGCTCATGGTGATTAAGGCAATTCTCAACTAAAAACTTTTGTGGAAAGCACTTTTCTGCAAGTGGGAAGAAAAGTTATAACCTCTGTTCACTTCGACATCCGGTGACAAAATGGCAGATTGACAACTATGTAGCTTTAAGGTTTTTCGCAGAGACAATATGAATGTCGGAATTTAGAGTTGCATTCTCTAAATATCGCATATACTATCGTTTATAGTTTTGAAGGGAACGCAGAAGAATTACTGGATGACGCAATTAACGAAAGGCAAAGCTAGAATATGGGAAGGAAAGTACTCATTATGATCACAGAATTTAAAAGCAACAAAACAAAAAAATTTCAGCTTTTTATCTTTAACCGTTTTCTCAAAACAATTTTTTTAATAAAGTGCTATTTTTCGGCCCCACAAGGTGAGAACCTGCCTTAAGTCAAAAGACCTCTTTCAAAATACTACAATTCCAATGCGAAACTCGTCCCAAATAAATACTTTAGAGGAAAAATAAGCATAAAAACATATAAACAGAATTGATACATTTAGTTTATTTTAAAAGAACAGGAAACTAAGGTGGGACAGGGATACTTGGACTGGTCCTCCAGTAGATGATATACGTCTCTAAAGTTCGCTTCTGTCCGCTTTAATGGACACTGCTCATTGGCCCATTACCTCCTGGTTGGAGTCCTCGGCGGTCACGTTGGCTTGGTTACATTCCGTTTCGACCTCCTCCTCTCCCTCCGGAGCCGGTGGAGTGACTGCGGCCAAGGGCGATTCGCCAAGTGCGGAAGCTTCCTGTTCGTCAGAGGGCTCCTCTGCTGGTTCAGACTTTGTTTCATCCTCTGAAGCTTCCAGCTTTTCTGCTACAACCGGAGAAGGTTCCTCCCCCTCCTTTTCCAGCTTGGCCTTCTTCGCCATCTTGGAACTGGTGATCGACGACGAGGAAGGCTTTTCTTCCAAAACCTTCTTCTCCTTTTCAGTGTCAACGTTGGCTGCCAACGGATCGTTCTCGTCGTTAATTTCTGTGAAGGAATCGAATGCCTTAAATGGACTCACTCCTCCAGAATAGAACTTACCCGGCATGCTCCTCGGCTTCACGATCTGCTCGATTTCGCTCATAGTGGATTATCCTCAAATCAATCGTCAAATCAAAACTATTGTAGAAAGCGTTGCACAAAAGTGAGAAGAAAATTATGAACTCTTAGTGAACAAGACTTACAGTGGCAAAATGGCAGATTCACAATTAGCTTTCAGTTTTTTCGCAGTGACGAATCAACTTTTAAAGTGAACGTCGAGAAATCAGAGTTGCTTCGGCTTAATATCGCATAGAAACGTGCTTAAAGGAGCGATAGTATTGGTTGGACTGTGATGCTGAGCAAGAATATAGACATTATCGTGTCGATTGCTTCTTGCTAACTTTTAACCGAATTTATATTTCCTCCTGCAGGAGTAAACACAACTTCTTGGGAATCGACCACTGGCATTTAAAGCCACACTTTAAAGAATATTGAATATCGACACGATAAATTAATAATTAAAATGATTAAATTAATAAATTAAAAATTTGTTTTCAGTTGGACGTCATGAACGTCATTAAAGCTTTTAAATTCTGTGATCATAATTAGTACTTTCCTTCCCATATTCTATTGGGTTGGCAAGAAAGTCATGTCGTTTTTTTGCAATATTTTCAAAGATGATTTATTTATATCAGGACTTATAATTAATCAATTATGTATTGGCCGTTTTGTTCGACCACCAATGACCATCTTTCGGGCAGCTGCATAATTCCGCGCTCGAAGATCTTTTGGTCTTTTCCAGCAAAGAATCGAGACAAGTGGTTTTCGACAGCCTCATCTGAATCAAAGTTTTTACCATTCAAAGAGTTTTGAAGAGAGCGAAACAAATGGTGCTAAGAAGGGGCTAAGTCCGGACTATAAGGTGGATGTGGTAGCACTTCCCAATTCAGCTCCGTTAATTTTTGCCGAGTGACCAAAGATGTGTGGGGCCTAGCGTTGTCATGGTGAAAGACTATACCCTTGCGATTAGCTAGTGCCGGCGCCTTTTCTTTAATTTTTTCCGCCAAATTGAATAGCTGGCGACAGTACACATCTGAATTGATGGTTTCATTCCGTCCCAGCAGCTCAAAGTGCACTACACCCTTCCAATTCCACCAAACAGACAGCATAACTTTCCTCTGATGGATATCGGCCTTTGATGTGGCTTGAGCTGGCTCATCTTTCTTGCTCCATGATCTTTTTCGTTGGACATTTTGTAAACAACCCACTTTTCGTCGCCAGTAATGATCCGCTTCAAAAAAGGATCGTTTTTAATCCGTTGCAGCAGAGAATAGCAGATGTTGATACGCTTAGTTAGGTGAATTTTCTGTAAGTTATGCGGAACCCAAACATCGAGCTTCCTTAAGTAGCCAAGTTTCTTCAAATGGTTTTCAACCGTTGTATGCGACACTTTGAGCTTCTCTGACATCTCCCGCGTTGAATAACGCCGGTTTTCATCCAGCAAAGCCTGAATTTGTTCGTCAAAAACGGCCGATGGTCGATCAGAACGTGGGGCGTCTTTGACTCAAAAATCTCCAAGCCTGAATTTGGCAAACCAGCGCTGACATTGGCGATCACTCATGGCATCTTTACCATACACTTCGCACAATTTTTCGCGAGCTTCGACCGCTTTTTTTTCCTTTTTGGAAGTAAAAAAGCAAAATATGCCGAAAATGCTCACTTTGGTCCTCCATGTCTAATTTGCTATATCTTCCACAAATGTTATCGAATAATTACCAAATTTTCGTCGATAGTACCTAAGACAATAAGCTTTAAAACGATACTAAAAAGTGTGACCCTGTTGCTCGATTAGTCGTAAATAAATTAGATTAAAAACGATTACTAAAAAAAACGACATGACTTTCTTGCCAACCCAATAGCTTTGCCTTTCGTTAGTTGCGTCATCCAGTAATTCTTCTGCGTTCCCTTCAAAACTATAAACGATAGTATATGCGATATTTAGAGAATGCAACTCTAAATTCCGACATTCATATTGTCTCTGCGAAAAACCTTAAAGCTACGTAGTTGTCAATCTGCCATTTTGTCACCGGATGTCGAAGTGAACAGAGGTTATAACTTTTCTTCCCAATTTCAGAAAAGTGCTTTCCACAAAAGTTTTTAGTTGAGAATTGCCTTAATCACCATGAGCGGAATCGACCAGATCGTGAAGCCGAGGAGCATGCCGGGTAAGTTCTATTCTGGAGGAGTGAGTCCATTTAAGGCATTCGATTCCTTCACAGAAATTAACGACGAGAACGATCCGTTGGCAGCCAACGTTGGCATTGAAAAGGAGAAGAAGAAGGTTTTGGAAGAAAAGCCCTCCTCGTCGTCAGTCGCCAATTCCAAGATGGCGAAGAAGGCCAAGCTGGAAAAGGAGGGGGAGGAACCTCCTCCGGTTGCAGCAGAAAAGCAGGAAGCTGCAGAGGATGAGAATGAGTCTGAAACAGCAGAGGATGGGAATGAGTCTGAAACAGCAGAGGAGCCCTCTGACGAGCAGGAAGCTTCCGCACTGGGCGATGCGGTAGAGCCACCGACTCCTGATGAAATCCACCATCCCTTGGAGGACACTCCGGAGGGAGAGGAGGTGGTCGAGACCGAATGCGATCAAGAGAATGAGGCCAATATGGCCCCCGAGGACACCAACTAGGAGGTGATGGGTCACTAACAAATGCGCACTCAAGCGGGCAGATGTGTTAATACTTCATGGACAGATCCCTGATGGAGGATTAGTTCAAGTATCCCTGCCCCACCATATTTTTAAAAACACTTCATACAACCATTTTGGCGAAGTTATTCTTTGCCATTTTTTTAATAAACACTTCACAAAAACATTTTGGCGAAGTTATCCTTAAGAGGGAGCAGTGGGGGTTTATTAACTCAGTATGCAAAATGATTCATAATATATTAGAAGGTCAACAGATTTTGGATCGAATGCCAGAAACACAGGCAGGAAGAAAGAATTAAAGAATACAGAAGTCGAGTTGAATTTAAATGATGGAAAGGTGGTGACAGCTAAAGATTACCATATTGTGGATTTATTGGAAGGATAATTCAAGTTGAATTGGTGTGACAGTAACGAACAAATGTCAATGTAAGTGCGTAGTTTGAAACACAAAACTATTGTTGAAATTTTTTTCATTAATAAAACTAAAAATCAAACACCATGTTTATAAAATTGATATCTCCTATTTTGCTGTAACAAAAGCAGGCGGCGCTGGACGAGACATCGTTTCAACTACCCAGTCGGTTGATACATACATATAAAAAGGCCAGACTCCCATAATCCAAGTCCTATCCCTTAACCGAGTAAAAATAAAAGAACGATCAGCTGACCACCATGCCGCCGGTGACCAGATCCCAGACAAAGAGGCTCAGGGAGCAAGAGCTCCAGGCCAAGGCATTTTGCGGAAAGAGGTGTGCCGTGCGAGTCCGACGCCCGACCCAACGGGAAATCAACTCCGCTTGCAAATCCCAATCCGTAAGTGGCTTGGCTCCGGAAGCAGTCGAAAACCACTCTCATTCGGCAGGCCAGACACTGATCCAGCGCTTTAACAGCCGTCTTCTTAACTGGTTAGTAAGGATCAAGCGGACGAACTAGCCCAGTAGCGTGGTAAGCACTTGTTACCCCAGGAATTACAATCTGTCGGTGTACCTATTTATTAATGTCTTTTATTATACTTAGCATACATCAAAGAGAGGTAACGACGGAGAAGGGGACATACATATAGTACTTTGAATACTTTCAAATATACAGGACATTCAATCTACAACAAGAAACACAATTTATATTATTGCGTACATGAAAAGCTGAATGTATCATGCGTCTCAAAACTTGATCGACAAATATACATAAATAGCTTATCATTATTTCGAAGCGTAGCATACATATGTTGACTTAATATTATTAAAGGAGTATTTTATTAATCAGTCCGGGGCAGAATAATATATCAATTAAGAATCCGTCACAGGGCCGCGCGGCTCGTACAACTTGATGAACTAAGCATGTTTAGTTGCTTGAACATTTTCCTTAGAGACACAAAGGAATTGATCCCCGTTTTAGTAAAGGCAATCCAAATTGGCAGCCAAGTGAACACGAACACAAGGAAGCTTCCTGCTCGTCAGAGGGCTCCTTTGCCGTTTCAGACTCATTCTCATCCTCTGCAGATTCCTGCTCTTCTGCTGCAACCGGAGAATGTTCTTCCACCTCCTTTTCTAGCTTGGCTCTCTTCGCCATCTTGGAGCTGGACATCGGTGACTTCCAACGGAGTGTCGGATAAACTTTAGAGTTTAGAGTTGCATTGGCTAAGTATCGCATGGCAAGAACCGTTTTATAACATGTCAATTTTTTTCACACTTAACACTTTTCGAAAGACAGCATTGTTGACGAAGAGTTCTGGCAAACTGTGAAAAGGTAAAAAAAAAAAACATAAATATGTATAGGAATTGGCATTAGCGAAAAAAGGAAGTTTAAAGTTACATAGTCGCTGTTTTGACTCTCTTTGTCACTGTTTAAAATTGTGATCACTGATCAAATGGGATCAGGCGGTCGTTTTAGAAATATAAATAAAAATAACTATTAGAAATCACGCTTTCCGCCCTTTTTTTTTTATTAATATAAAGCACCCAAATTAGCTCTTTAAAAAAAAATTTCTTTCCCATTTGTTGCACAAAGTGAAGTGGAATTTTAACACGAGTTCTTATTCCCTGGCAATGTTTATTGTGTATCTGTATAAAAACTATACGTGAACTGAATTTATGAATGAACAATGAACAAGAGAATTCAATATTCTTTAAAGTGTGGCTTTAAATGCCAGTGGTCGATTCCCAAGAAGTAGTGTTTACTCCTGCAGAAGGAAATATAAATTCGGTTAAAAGTTAGCAAGAAGCAATCGCACGATAATGTCTATATTCTTGCTCAGCATCACAGTCCAACCAATACTATCGCTCCTTTAAGCACGTTTCGATGCGATATTAAGCCGAAGCAACTCTGATTTCTCGACGTCACTTTAAAAGTTGATTCGTCACTGCGAAAAAACTGAAAGCTAATTGTGAATCTGCCATTTTGCCACTGTAAGTCTTGTTCACTAAGAGTTCATAATTTTCTTCTCACTTTTGTGCAACGGTTTCTACAATAGTTTTGATTTGACGATTGATTTGAGGATAATCCACTATGAGCGGAATCGACCAGATCGTGAAGCCGAGGAGCATGCCGGGTAAGTTCCATTCTGGGGGAGTGAGTCCATTCAAGGCATTCGATTTCTTCACAGAAATTAACGATGAGAACGATCCGTTGGCAGCCAACGTTGACATTGAAAAGGAGAAGAAAAAGGTTTTAGAAGAAAAGCCCTCCTCGTCGCCGATTGCCAGTTCCAAGATGGCGAAGAAGGCCAGGTTGGAAAAGAAGGGGGAGGAACCTTCTCCGGTTGTAGCCGAAAAGCTGGAAGCTTCAGAGGATGAAACAAAGTCTGAACCAGCAGAGGAGCCCTCTGACGAACAGGAAGCTTCCGCACTTGGCGAATCGCCCTTGGCCGCAGTCACTCCACCGACTCCGGAGGGAAAGGTGGTGGTCGAAACGGAATGTGACCAAGCCAACGTGACCGCCGAGGACTCCAACCAGGAGGTAATGGGCCAATGAGCAGTGTCCATTAAAGCGGACAGAAGCGAACTTTAGAGAAGTATATCTAATGGAGGACCAGTCCAAGTATCCCTGCCCTACCTTAGTTTTCTGTTGTTTTAAATAAACTAAATGTATCAATTCTGTTTATATGTTTTTATGCTTATTTTTCCCCTAAAGTATTGATTTGGGACGAGTTTCGCATTGGAATTGTAGTATTTTGAAAAAGGTCTTTTGACTTAAGTCAGGTTCTCACCTTGTGGGGCCGCTAATATTTGGACTTGTCTAGATCGTAAGTAATTATATATATAAAAATATTTCATAAAAAATCGATTTAAATGTTTGAACCTATAAATAACATATAAAATACTCATAATGTTGACGAAGTTAAAATGAAATTAATATATAAAATGCACATTAAATTTGATTAAAAAGAAAACAATGGGCTGTATATCAAACACCAAAATTTAAAAGTCCCGCTCTAAAACTCGATTATCGAAAGGAGCGATACACTCCTTAGAGAGATGTCATCGATAGGTTAGAAGGATCCATTGGATATGTTAGGAGGGTGTGTTGGATAAAGCTGGAGGGTGTACTCGCTAGGAACAGATGATGGTCGCTAGGGATGGCATATTCGCTATTAAGTTCGGAGTGTGTATCGGCTGGGTTGCTACATATCTGTGAGACCGAACTCACAAACCATGGTCTCAGTCGATGGAAAATTAGGGCTTCACAAACACCGATAGTCGCGTCAAACATCGACTTGCAACTTATTTGAAAACATCGATGTTTCTCCACCTCTAGTGACACGACAGCGAATTTAAAAGCGAAAGTTGCAGGAAAGTTGCCCAAAAGTCAGGACCAGGACAGGACAGGAACGAAGGACCCGCTCGCAGGATGCCGCACGCAATCGACGACCTGCAGGCGATCATCGCCGAGCTGAAGACTGAGCTAGAGGAGCAGAAGACCGCCGCCGGCAGCAGCAGTCGCCTGGTGCGCGACCGCATCGATCGGATGTCCGCCGAGGTGGTCGACTCGAATCCCTACAGCCGCCTAATGGCCCTGCAGCGGATGAACATCGTCCAGGACTACGAGCGCATCCGCGAGAAGGCTGTGGCCATCGTGGGCGTGGGCGGCGTGGGGAGCGTCACCGCCGACATGCTGACAAGGTTTGTGCACAACGGAAGAAGACTGCGATTTGGGTGAAATTAGTGCTTGTATCTGGGTAAGAGTAAGGGTGTTAGGAATGAGTACCCATAAATTTCAAACAACTTGAAAGTAGCTAAAAACAAGGTAATTATTGTTGAGTTTGTTCAATTTGGTTGAAACAGGTGGTATTATACGGAGAAGACTCAGGGTATTTGGGAGACTTTTACCCAGATATTTCAGACAGGTGCCAAAGTAGTTCATAACGAGGTTATAAATATTAAAAATGACCAACATTATCGCATTGTAAACACTCAGAAAAGAAAAGATTGATAGAAAAGTTACAGGTGTTTTTGAGAAGTGGTTAACCAGACACTTTACATATGAAAGCAGGACATCACTATTTGGATGTACTCCCATGCAATATGGTAACTGATTTGCTAAGATTTACAAAGATTAATTATTGAACTAATTCGATAGAAACATTCGTGATTTTAATCTTTGTGTTCTTTACATCAAAATAAAGTATCTATATACGTTTGCTTAGACAATTGTGAAAGCAATTATTGTTCACTCATATTCCCCCATTGCATCTATTACTCCCTTTCAGTTGTGCAGAATCTTGAACCCCGATTAATGTGTTTACCCCTTGCAGATGCGGCGTCGGCAAACTCATCCTGTTCGACTACGACAAGGTGGAGCTGGCCAACATGAATCGGCTGTTCTTCACGCCCGACCAGGCGGGCCTTTCGAAGGTGGACGCCGCCGCCGCCACACTGAGCTTCATCAATCCGGACGTGCGGATCGAGACGCACAACTACAACATCACGACGGTGGACAACTTCGATCGCTTCCTGGACACGATCTCGCAGAGCGGACAGGTTGCTGGCCAGCCTGTGGACCTTGTGCTCAGCTGCGTGGACAACTTTGAGGCCCGCATGGCCATCAATGCAGCCTGCAACGAGCGCAACCTCAACTGGTTTGAGTCGGGCGTGTCGGAGAACGCCGTCTCGGGTCACATTCAGTTCATCCGTCCGGGGGACACCGCCTGCTTTGCCTGCGCTCCTCCTCTTGTGGTGGCCGAGGGCATCGACGAGAAGACCCTCAAACGGGAGGGCGTGTGCGCCGCCTCGCTGCCCACGACCATGGGCATCACCGCTGGCTTCCTCGTCCAGAACGCGCTGAAGTACCTGCTGAACTTCGGCGAGGTTTCCGACTATCTGGGCTACAGCGCACTCACCGACTTCTTCCCCAAGATGACGCTCAAGCCGAATCCGCAGTGCGACGACAGGAACTGCGTGGCCAGGCAAAAGGAGTTCCAGGCCAAGCCCAAACCGGTGGTGGTTAAGGAGGAGTCGAAAGTCGAGGAGCCGCTGCATGCCACCAACGAGTGGGGCATTGAGCTGGTGGCAGATGATGAACCCGAAGAAAGCGCACCGCCTGCGAATAGCTCTGCTGTTGGCGAAGGTCTCAGACTCGCCTACGAGGCCCCCGAAAAACTGAGCGAAGATCGAGGAGATACTGAAGCTGCTCCCGCGGACGAATCCAGCCTCGAGGATTTGATGGCGAAGATGAAGTCCATGTGAATTGATTCCATACTCCGTATTTATAGGCACTCTTTTGTAAAACATGTTTTGTATTGGCCCCGTTTTGAATCCGTGAAACGTGGCTCAGCCATTTTGGATTTCATTGAACATAAAACACACGGTTTTGTGCAGATGAATAAATGTTATTTTTTTAAATATGATGTGCAAAAAAAGGTAGAATTAAGAGGTTAAATAGTAAAATAAATAGTAATTAGGGGTCATGTGTTTATGTATACTTTATTCGAGCAAAAATGTGAGGTTTTCTTGATTTTTGTATAATTTTTTCAAAGGCAAATCGTATTTCAGTATAGTATAGGGAACTTGTAGTCGTGATCAGCTGTTTCTTTAAAAGTCAGTCTATTTATTATAAAACAAGCTTACTGAAATTTTATGATTTTTTCAGGTTGTGTGCAAATATATGCATAATGGAATCGCCAAATGAGAACGACTATATCATGTAAAAAAAACAAATAAAATATGTTATTTAACATTTATTCCTTTCTACCATATCTTGTATTTAAATTTGAAAAAAAAAAAAATTATAATAATAGATTTTATTTGAACTACGCGCACTTGTCCTAAAAAACAAATTGACAGGATTGTCCGAGCTCTGAACCAGTGTTATACTGGGTGGGTGCGAATGATTTTGCCGGCGATGCCAACCTAGGCGAAACTATATTTCTTAGGGCTGCGAACGCTTGGCAGGGAAGGCCGTTCACCATCTGGCAGCACTGTGTCGCGTTGTCACAAAAAAGGGAATCTCCTGCGAAAACAGTTTTCCTGGCTGCCACGCACGGCTTTTTAAATAAACGAGGACCGGAGAAGGATATTAGCGCGACTCTAGACATGGCCAAGAAGGAGGAAAAGTCGCAGCCGGGCGAGGAGGTGAGCAAACCAGATGCCGGCTTGCGAACTGAACCATTGGGACGCGTTCCAAGACACGTCACTGCCAATTTGGCCATATAGTGCTATATAATGTTTAACCGATTCCGTTCTATATCGCCCGTGGACAGCTCGTGAAGGTGAACAAGTGGGACGGATCGGCGGTGAAGCACGCCCTGGACGATGCGGTGAAGACCTGCCTGCTGGGCGACCATCCCCAGCTGAAGGAGCAGTTCGGCCTGGTCAACACCCGGCTGGCCCTCTGCGCCCTCGCCGTGGGCGTGGCCATCATGGCCCACGCCTGGGACTTCACCCACCCCTTCCCGCAGTCGCGCCCCGTGCTGCTGTTCAGCGTGCTGGCCTACTTTGCGCTCCTGGGCGTCCTGACCCTCCACTCGAGCTTCCGCGAGCGGGGCACCTTCGCGGTGGCCCTGCAGAAGGATAAGGAGCGCGAGCGGCTCTGGGAGGCCAGCTCCGACATGCGCAAGTACGACGACAAGTACCTGCTGACCCTCAGTGTGCGCGACTCCCGGAACGGCAAGCAGCGCAAGCAGAGCAGCACCAAGTCCTGCGCCGCCTTCATCGATCAGAACGGCATCGTCCTGGACAACCTGGTGGCCAACGAGGTCAACCGCCTGTTCAACGCCCTCTCCGCCGACAAGAAGGACAAGTAGCTAGCCCCCCAAGCAGCAGAAGCCGCCAGCTAAGCCGGTTTTTTTTTTTTTTAACTATAATAAACCAAATCCCCACTTTACGTCTCATTAAACTTTACACTTTTGTGGTAAGCCGACTGTGCGTGTTTCCTTTCGTCACATTCGATTCAGATTAGATTCACAGAAACGCTTTTAAGACTTAGAGCTAAGTAAAGCATTTAACAACGTATTTATTGTCTGCCCTAAAGGAGATCCTGGACAACTTACATGAGTTGGTAGCAAGAGCTAAATATAGGTAAAGAAAAGGGCATAGTTCCTTTTATTTAATTTACCTTCACCGTCACCTTCTAATATTATTCTACTCATTCCTTATTCTGTGTTTTTAATAGTGAATTTTTTATAAACTAAAATGATCAAAATAAATTTTCATATTGTTAGCAAACTATGTTGTTCCTAAGCGTCATCTCTCAACGAAACAAAATCCATTTGTTTTAATGTTGTTTAATTAACCAAAATATTTGGCAAAAGGGTAAACAAAACTATATATAATATGAAACAACGACACTGTGTGTAAAACACCCTCTGAATAAATATTGACTTCGGAATAATTTCTCAAATGAAATTAATTTGATGTCCCTTTTTTTCGAAATTGAGATTTTAATGCAAAATTGTTAGGCACCTAAAGCCTCACTACCCTGTGAAATATTATAACTGAAAACCCTATAGTTCCGATAAAAATTAAGTTTAAATTTTATCGTATGTTACAGTGCTCCTAAGAGATTACATCAAAAAAAAAAGCTTCTGCTGTAAAATTGGATTTTTCAACATACAATACATTTGCGGAAATGCGTCAATATGTATTCTTGATCAGGATCATCAAACGAGTTGATCTATGTCTGTCCGTCTGTCGCTCAGTCCGCATGAACGTCGCGATCTCGGGAACTTTAAGAGAGAAGAATATTGGAGTTAAGCATGCAGACCCTAGTGGTGAATACGCAGCGAAAGAAGTTTTAAGAAAAGTGTCACGCCCACTTTCAAGCCCACCAAACAGCTTAGTTTTCATTTCATCTCATCACGGTTGTGTTATCACCTAAAAGTAATGCATCTCGGAACTCCCAATTGAAAAAGTTAAATAAATACGAAACAGATATGCAGCTGTGTAGGATTGCTATCCTGATAAATCCAGTCATTTGGCCAAATTCGAATCAAGTGTCACTAAATTGTCAACTTCCAGCAACAAATAGGTGGGGAGAAAATCGAGAAAATTCAAATAAAAACCCAAATTTAAGATCAGGATTGATGAGGCCGGGAGAAGTTGAGCCCCATGCTAACCGAGCGGCGGACCGGCGGACCGGAGTGGAGAGGCGAGACGAGGAGGGGAGGAGGCAGTGGTCGCCAGTCCCCAGCTAATTGGTTTCTGAAGGTGGAGGCGAGGAGGCGGTGTTCCCACAATGCGGGAGATAGTTACCCTGCAGATCGGCGGGGCCGGCAACGCAATAGGCGACTCGGTGGGTAGGAGGCTCCCACTCTCTCCCCCTTTGATATCCATTTGATACCCATTTGATACCCATTCGATACCCATTTGATACCATTTGATACCATTTGATACCCATTTGATACCCATTTAATACCCATTTGATATCCATTTGATACCCATTCGATTCAGCTAATAGAACCCACTAATATTCAATCCCAGTTCTGGCACGTCATCTCGCATGAGCACGGCGTGGACTACGCCTCGGGCCGCTTCGGGGGCACCAGTCCGCTGCAGCTGGAGCGGATCAACGTCTTCTTCAACGCGACGGCCAGCAAGCGCTTCTACGCGCGGGCCATCCTGGTGGACACGGAGGCCAGCACGGTGCAGCGCCTGAACGCCAGCAGCCAGCTCTACCGTCCGGAGAACTTCGTGGCCGGGGCGGAGAGTGCGGGCAACAACTTCGCGAGGGGCTACCACACGGACGGGGCCGAGATCCTGGACCAGGTGCTCGAGAGCACGCGGCGCGAGGTGGAGGCGGTGGACTCGCTGCAGGGCTTCCAGCTGCTCCACTCCATCGGCGGCGGCACCGGCTCCGGACTCACCGCCCTGGTGATGGAGGCCCTGGTGGAGCAGTACCCGGACAACCTGCTGTGCAACTACGTGACCATCCCCTCGCCCAACATGTCCCAGGTGGTCGTGGAGCCCTACAACGCGCTCCTCAGCGCCCCCGCCCTGGTGAACAACTCGCACCTGACCTTCTGCCTGGACAACGAGGCGCTGTTCCAGATCTGCAACCGAAACCTGCGCATCCGCACCTCCGGCTACGAGCACATCAACCACATCGTGGCCCTGTCCATGTCGGGCATCACCACCTGCCTGCGGTTCCCGGGGCAGCTGAACGCCGGCCTGCGCAAGATCTACGTGAACATGGTGCCCTTCCCGCGGCTGCACTTCCTCATCCCGGGCTTCGCGCCGCTGGTCACCTGCAAGCAGCAGCAGTTCAGCAAGGGCACCGTCTCCGAGCTCGTCCAGCAGATCTTCTCCAGCAACAACCTGCTGTGCGCCGTCGACCTGCGACGGGGCAAGCTCCTCACCGCCGCCGGAATCTTCCGGGGCCGGATGTCGCCGCGGGAGGTGGACCAGCTGATGACCGGGGTGAGGAACAAGAACATCAGCAACTTCGTCGACTGGATACCGAACAACATCAAGACGGCCATCTGCGACATTCCGCCGCGCGGCCTCAAGATGTCCGCCACGTTCATCGGGAACACCACGGCGATCCAGTCGCTCTTCCAGCGGCTGCTCGACGGCTCCATGGCGATGCTGAAGCGCAAGGCCCACCTGCACTGGTACACCGGCGAGGGCATGGAGGAGCAGGAGTTCCAGGACGCCCAGCAGGAGCTGCAGGCCATCATCGACGACTATCGCAGCAGTGCCGACGGCGAGGATGGTGGCGGAGGAGGCGGAGGAGCAGGAGGATCGGGATCCGGAGGAGGCGGCGGCGAGGACAGCGGCGACGAGGGTCAGGCCGCCGGTCCCCAGTGTCCCTATTGCACCGACTAGCCCCCCGATATCGGATATCGGATGTATCCGGATGGCCAAGCGATGGCCCACCATCACACCGAAATTCAAAAACCAAATTCAAAAGTTTCCCCAGTTGTCGTCGCGTGTTTTGGATTTGGATTTGGACTCATGCATACGTACGTTGGTTTACCGCGCATCTCACGGTGTTCCGAACACATTATATATTTCGAGTACAAAAATATAGATTTTAGTAAATATTAACTGGCTGTGTTCTTTTCCGCCTATCAATGCACTTTCAAACAGAAACAAATAATATTAAAGAGACTCGAAATTGAGTTTTGCAATGCAAAGATATGAATAGAAGGAGATTAGCATGTAGTATTAATTGCGATGTTATTAATTCTAATGTACTTCGTCGATCAATTACCATTTTAGCCATCAACAATTTAAACTTTAAATCGGCTGAATTAGTTATATAGCAGGCATAGGAACAGTTGGAAAAATTAAATAATTTTCTTTTAATCATGATTCCTTTTATGTTGTGATGGTACTATATCATATTGCTGCTCTAGCAAAAACTTAAGTTTCTTATTTGAAAATTAGAAAATTAAATAGGTATATAGTTTTAAATTAATCGGAAGGAATAGTTTAAAATAAAATTTTTAGTTTTTATGGGATTCGATTCGGTAAGTTAAGTAAAGACTAGATCATTTATGTTTCCCTGTTTAAAAAGTTATTTATACAACATTTTGTAACTAAAAATCTTAATCGATGTTTTTCCAACTTCTTCAGAGTTTGTTTAAAAGTCTTTATTATTACATAAAGAAGTTAAGGAAATCTTTGTCACAGAACCGCAAATTGTTTCCAAGTTAATAGGAGTTTTTGTTTGTATTTAAACAAGTAAAATCTCAAAAGTTACATTCGCAAGGTCCATAAATTTCGAGTTCTGAATACTCCTTTCTTTTCGTCTCAATTTTTTCGGGTTACTCGCGATCGCTCGCCGATCCTATTTGGCTTTTCTATTTTCGCAGTGGCCAAGCATTTTCCGTAGGTCAAAAGCCGGATCTGCTAAACTTGAACGGCTGCCAAGAGGAGTTTTTGGCGAGTTCGCGTCAGGAAAATTAGGAACGAGGCGACCGCCCGGCCAAATAAAAAACCTGAGAAGATCCGGAGACGACGGCATTATTAATAGACGGATGCTAAAGGTTTTTGCACTTGGTTTATTTCTGGTGCTCCGCATTCCTGAGATGCCGCCGTGGTGACAAAAATATATGCAACACACACGAAAAGATGCAAACATAACGCATTTCCACTGCACATCGCATCCAATCTGACCACACCGACGAAAAATAACGGTATTTTTTTGTTAAATCAATTTATCGATTGAAATTTAGCAACTGTCAACTATTCGACTGAAGTTTGTTTGATGAGGACTAGTTTGCATTAAAAACACTTTTTTTTACGATTTTTAAAAAAATTTAAACATTTCAAAAAAAAAATATATCTGCATTGATTCGTTTATATTTTACTACTTCTAACATGTACCATTCAAGCTTATTAAATAATAACATGTACGCTTAAAGATTAGGAAGTATAATATTATTATTAAATCGAAAATAAATACATCATTTAAATCGTTGACCATATTTTGATTTCCACTGTCAGCTTTCATGGTAAATTTAGCTTACTTCCTGTTTTTTTTGAGAAATAATTTACTTTAATATTTAAATGAAAATTATAGTTAAGGATAAGGATACATTATTTTGTGCACTTTTTATTTTAGTGCATTAAAAATGTGCATCGGCTTGCAAGTGGAGCACACACACACTAGCGCTGGCCGGCACACCTACACACTTAAGGGAAAACGGCGGAAAAGCTTGGAGGGGGAGGAAAAACCAGGGAACTGCAAGCATAAATATAAATATAAAATTGAGAATTCAATACAGACGCTAGATGCCAACTATTTGTGGGCTGTGTTCCACCCTGCGCCACACCTTGCCACGCCCACACGCCCCGACAACAGGCGCCACACAAAACGCACCTAACATTGGCTGGCTTCAAAAGGAAAATTATTTTGTTTTAAAACAAAATTGAAATAGATAAAAACACGTTTAAAATTGGCACAGTGTGACCATGTGCGATAAATAAACGGTTATCCCCTAAGGTAGTTCAGCTTATTTTGTATTTGCTTAATTTTTTTTTATGTTAAATTTTTTCAAAATGCACGTAACTACAATCTTGCAACGGGGATATTATTCAGCATTGAATTAATACCGAAGAAATTAAAATATTTTTATATATTTACTTAAGTTCCTATATTTTTTAACGAATTGCGTACTAGCATTTAGTAATAGAGTGTAACAACAAAAGAAGTCGTTAAATCCTTTAGCTTTACTGCCGCAAACTACGAACACAAAATTAAAAATTTGCATTTCGCGCGTTAAATAACTGCGGAGGCCTATCTAAGTTTGCAACCAATGTTCAACGATGCTCTTTGCAGGCGAAACAGATTTGGGATTTTTTTTGGAATGCGGGGCTGGTCGCCAGAACCTGGGGCAAGCCGTTTCGCCGTCTGGTAACACTTATTCGAATTTCAATCCGCCAACGAACGGTTCGTCCGCGCTGCTCCGCTGCGAGTTTCTTGTACCCCGCAAAAAACAAACCTGGCCAAAATCTGCGGGCCATTTTTCGCATCAAGCCTTTTTGTCAATTGAAGGAGAGGAGTTCTTCGGAGAGAACGGTACTTTGCAAAACACCGAAAATAATAAAAACAAAAACAACAGCAACAGCATCACACATACATACACACGCGGGAATTTTTTCGGGCCTCTCTTAGAGCGCGTGTGTGTGTGTGCTGCAGTTGCATAGTTTTTGCTTTTTTTTTTTTTTTGTTTTGTACTGGAATTTTGTCTTCTCTCTCTGGAAAAAGAGAGCGCGCGCGCAACGTTTTCCGCAGAATTATTTCAAGCCTGTGTGTGTGTTTATCACTAAACAACATTTTTTTTGTTTTGTGCAGTTGAGATTTGAATTTTTACCCTCCATAAAATAACAAGTTACAAGAGCAATCAAACGAAGGATTGAATATAAAAAGCCAAATATCGAAAGAAGATTCGATCTTCACACACACATACAACATGTTCACCGAAAAGGGAATTTTTCCCATTGGCGACGGACTTTTGGACGTGGACGCCGATCGGCTAAAGGGACTTCTCGTGTCGTGTCACGACATCAACGAGATCTACGAGGTGGAACAGACGCCGTTTGCCAGGTGAGTTTTGCAGTCTTTTTCCTTTTCCCTTGCCAAAAAACACAAAAACAAGTTTCTCGCATCTCCACACAGAAAAAAACATATCAAAAACCAAAGATATATTAATTTCCATAACTTCAACTTCAATCGAGAAAGCAAATTGTCGTTGGTGGTGTTATAAGTCTTTGAAATACATACATATATCTACACAGAATTGAATAAACACGTAGTTTATTTAAAGAAACTAGCTCGACTTGTTTAATAAGTTCAACCGTTAATATGATGTTAGGTAAATTTATCTAAACTTTAAAGTCATGCGGGTAACATTGATCTACTTTTAAATGAAAACTTTTTTTATAATTCGACTTTAAAAAAGAAGAACAATACGTAGTTGATTTTTATGTATGACAAAAATGTCTGTTTTGAATATGCAAATAACGGCATAATTAGATTAAGCTTACATTTGCTTACTTAATGTGGATTGAAATGCTTGAGAGTTTATTAGTTGCATTTGGTAATTAATGCTCAGGTTTCTATCAAACCAATTGCCGTAAAAGTTTCAAACTTAAAGGTTTGCATCTTAAAAAATAGCATTCTTAAACTGTAATTGCTGATTTATTCGGGGAATCATCGAAATAATTATCAAATTATACATACATTTCTTTCTGTGCAAAAGCAGCTGCCAAAAAAATAAAAGCGAAATCCCAAAAACACCGAAACAAAGCTAAAAATGTTGAAGAAAGTCAGTCGCAAGTCTGTTTTATTTTCTGAAAAACTTCTGCGTCTCAAAACTTGTTTTATTTACTTTTTTCTTCTTTCTTGCGACTCGGCTGTGTGTGCGAGCTTCTACTTAACACACACACACTCACGTGTGGACGGGAGACAAAAAGAGAGTTTTGTGTGGATAACGGCACAGTGGTTTTATAATACAAATTTGATAAAACAAAACATTAGCAAATATTTGAATTCTTCAAACCATTTGATCTGACATTTGAGTGTTACAAAATATTTTACTTGTCCAAAAATGTATATTAAATTGTGCTTACATTTATATGAACATCCTTCAGCATGTCTACAATTTTGAACAATGTTGTTTAAAGGTTTATTATAGTAAAGTTCTGCAGAAAGGTAAAAATGAAAAAATGTTACCTCGCTACTTACAGAAAACCGAATGTAAAACTCAATTGAATGATTTCAATCCACTATTTCAACTATTTTGTTATTTATGCATTGCGATGCAAATTAAAAATTCGCATATCGTTTAGAAGAATCTGTTCCGTGGTTTTTCACATCCGTACTATTAAATTATTGACCTTTGCTTGTTAGTTTCAGAATAATGTGGTTTATGGACTTTGTATGTATTCTACGGATTTAAATTTGGTTTGTTTACCTGGGCTTGGCCCAAGGGTTCTGTTATTTGGCTTATATGGTGGAATTCAAGGTTTGTGCAACCACAGTGCAGCTCCTGCTTCTTCTTGTATATCTTTACTTGCTTCCTCATCTATCTTCACATCCTCTTCCCTCTCGTCTTCCTCGTTCTGCTGTTTTTCTCCCTTTTTGCTCAATCTTCCAAAGAGCAGCTGTTACCGTTTGCCAGCAAACTGACCCTCATGCTTCGTCCCTTTCTAGGTGCCTCTGGCCCTCTCTTTTCCTCCCTCTTTATATTTTTCCTTCTCAGATGCCCTATGGCTACCTTTTATTTCTGCTAGATTTGCATTTTTACCCTTTTTCGTTATAATTTTTTCGCGTTTTGCTTTGTTCTTGCCTCATTAGTTTTGCATTTCATCGTTTCTTTAAAGTTCTTCAAACTTCGCCACCCATTTTGCCCCTGTTTCCCCTAACAAAGGTCGTTTGTTTTCGATCCCCTGTTTTGTACCCCATCTATCAATGTATTCCACCGTTTTTTGATAAGCCTTGTGTTATCAAAAAAAAAAAAAAAAACACAAAAATTAATAATAAAACTTAAATCCCGTTCGACGTTTTCGAGTTTCGTAAGCAACCACTCATGTGAAATTCAATTTTTTTGTCATCGATTGTCTCAAATCGTAATTCTTATCAGGAGAACCGTTTTCCCGTTGTGTTGGTTGTTAAAGCCGATGGAAATTATTTACATTCTACGTTGGGCAATGATCAACGAATATACAGTGGCTCACAGCTTAAAGTATGCAGTGCATACTTTTAACTTTAAACGCCCATAGCGGTAAAACTATAAGGAATATTGGAATAAACAAGGTGCCAAATGAAAGAATAACTTATTTAGAATAACGTAACAAAATCATTTATTTTCAATAACGGCTTAAACACAAAAAAAACTTTAAAAATGAAAAATACAGCTTATATTCAGCTCACAGCTTATTTTATGCAGTCTCAAAAATGTTCAAAAAATAAGGAAAAAACTCAAAAATATAACGTTTTTAATATTTGGTATGGTAACCATTGTTGTCAACGACATCTTTCAGCCTTTTCGGCATTGATTCAACCAATTTTTGGGTGACTTCTGACGAGATCTTTCCCCACTCCTTCATTAGGGCATCTTTTAAATCATTTTTGTTAGAAATGTGGTAATTTCTAATATTATTATCCAAAATGGCCCATAAATTTTCAATAACGTTGAGGTCCGGTGACTGAGCCGGCGTATCCACAACGTGAGGGCGATTGTACAGCAACCACAACCGCACAATTCCAGCCTTGTGCTTTGGATCATTATCCTGATAAAAGCGGAAATTGTCTTTTATTCCAAGATCCTCGGCACTTTGGACCAAATTGTCCTTTAATATTTGAAGGTATGCTTTTTTATCCATTATCGATTCAATAAAAGTCAGTTTTCCAGGGCCAGCAGCTGACATACAGGCCCAAACCATCACGCTGCCACCGCCGTGCATTACCGTTGCCTTCAGGTTCTTTGGTTCAAGCTCTGTATTAGGCTTTCCAAGACCCCCGACTTCTGGAAAAGTGTGATATTTGCAGACGAATCCAAATTTGGATCAGACGGTAACGCTTATGTATGGCGGAAGCCCAATACAGAGCTTGAACCAAAGAACCTGAAGGCAACGGTAATGCACGGCGGTGGCAGCGTGATGGTTTGGGCCTGTATGTCAGCTGCTGGCCCTGGAAAACTGACTTTTATTGAATCGATAATGGATAAAAAAGCATACCTTCAAATATTAAAGGACAATTTGGTCCAAAGTGCCGAGGATCTTGGAATAAAAGACAATTTCCGCTTTTATCAGGATAATGATCCAAAGCACAAGGCTGGAATTGTGCGGTTGTGGTTGCTGTACAATCGCCCTCACGTTGTGGATACGCCGGCTCAGTCACCGGACCTCAACGTTATTGAAAATTTATGGGCCATTTTGGATAATAATATTAGAAATTACCACATTTCTAACAAAAATGATTTAAAAGATGCCCTAATGAAGGAGTGGGGAAAGATCTCGTCAGAAGTCACCCAAAAATTGGTTGAATCAATGCCGAAAAGGCTGAAAGATGTCGTTGACAACAATGGTTACCATACCAAATATTAAAAACGTTATATTTTTGAGTTTTTTCCTTATTTTTTGAACATTTTTGAGACTGCATAAAATAAGCTGTGAGCTGAATATAAGCTGTATTTTTCATTTTTAAAGTTTTTTTTGTGTTTAAGCCGTTTTTGAAAATAAATGATTTTGTTACGTTATTCTAAATAAGTTAATCTTTCATTTGGCACCTTGTTTATTCCAATATTCCTTATAGTTTTACCGCTATGGGCGTTTAAAGTTAAAAGTATGCACTGCATACTTTAAGCTGTGAGCCACTGTAGTTTAAGAGGGCACCCTGTGATATCTTAATGCTTTTTATTTAGGGCTTAACAAAATTTAGTAGATTTAAATTATGTTTAACTTTGTCAAGTATATGTTTGTTAATCATTTTACAAATTTTAAATTTTGTTATTTATAAATAAACAGCTCTTTTTACTTTATAAATAATGTCATATAGATTTTGAAAATGTAATTTTTACGTTCGTCGTCTTAGCACATTTTATTTATTTGATTTTAATATGTTCTTGAATTGTTTTTTGAAGTTTATGATCTTTATTCTGCCCCTGTAAATTCTTCAACTCTTTGGCCCAAAATAAATTGTTGTATTTTAACTGCCCTGGAATTCCGATGTCAAATTTGCCTTATTTAGCGGTTAAGGTTCTGCCGCAGACGGGTTATTTTTCCCTGGTAATAGTCTTTTTTTTTGTTAGCCATTTCGTTTCGGTTTCTCATGCTTCTCTGGTTCCGCGTTCGCCTTATACCAACTTGTTGCTGCGTTTGCTTTCGTTTCACGTTTTGTGTTGACTTTATTTTATTTTTTGTATTTTTTTGGGGTCGTTTGCTTTATCAACGCATAATTTTTAAACGTTTCCCGCAAGAAATGCGTTCTGTGAGCCAGAAAAAAAGAGCTTTTTTGTTTTTATCAGTCGCATATAATAAGATAAGGCAGGGAAGAAACAGGTGAGAGAAGGCAGTTTTTTATTTATACATATTTTTGTTTTGCTTAGCAAAAATCTTCCCCAAAAATGTGTTAGTACATTAACTGCTTACTAAAAAAAGATAAGCTTTGAATTAATAATTGTATATTTTTGCACAGCAATATTCACAAGTCATACGAAAATGTGTAAAAAAAAAGAGACACATACGAAATATTTTAAGCATATTCAAATTTACCCCCATGTCACAATAAATTTCGCCCCAAAAAAATTTAACCTTAATGACCAGTGAAATAAAAAACATGCCAAAATGGAAGCGTTTGACAATTGCAAGCCGTCAATCAAGCGGGTGGCAGGGAATCGAAGGGGATTTCTGATTTCTGCAAGCCGGAATGCCAAAATGTTGGCCAATTGGGCAACGCACATATACAATATTTCTTATAACATTTGAGCTGTGCATAATTGGACTTGGATGGATGGGATGATATATGAAAAAATAGAAAACTACATGTTGGTGTTGCTCTGTCGGCCGTTGTTGTTGCTAGCCTATGGCCCAATTTATATGGTA